TCAGTCAATAGCCAGTAGCGTCTGTCTGCAGCAGTCAGTCGTAGTATGCCCCGGTCAGCGGTCAGGCGCAACAGCCAACCCCAAGGCACCGGTTTGTCAGTAACGCGCAGCAGCAGGGTGTAGTGAGGCCCACGACCCTCGGCAGTGCACGACAGTGTGCATCACGAATCCCAACGACTCRTCACTCACTTGCACGTGGCGAGGTGTACGTCCATCATAGTAGCACTCCGCACTCCACGAACATGTTCCAGAAGTCCGACTAGATCAGCACCTTAACCCCACGGCGAAGGAACAACAAATGTTGCCTGCAACTCGCCGCTTTGCTGTAGCTTCCCCCGTTTTCCTCTCTATGTTGTCCCTGTATTTCCTCGGCCTTAGTTACCCACCCCTACTGTCAGTGCATCGGCCCTCCCTCCCGGCCAACAGGTGAGTCTCCAACCTCGACTGCTCTACATGCTGCTGCCGTTGATACCTCGAGAAACGTGAATGGATCTGTCACCAGGGCCCGACCAGGTTCATTCGCACTTACTAACTTGTTTCCTTGCCACCACCATGCACACCACCTTCTCTCTAACTCCTAACTTACTAATCTATGGCTAAAACTGGCACTACAGTTTGATCCGCCCGGGGTCAAAACTTCAGGATACCCCTTTCCCCTCTCGATTCCATTCAGGATCAAGAGTACGACGCGTCCTTAGCCTCGCCCGGCTCGTCGCCCCGCCATTCTCATTCCTCCTCGTCCCGAATGCACCCGGTGCGAAATCGCGTCCGGTTTCATTCCACCCAGTTTCCCCTCTTTCGTTGCTGCGTTCACCCCCTCGGTCAACCCCACCCTGTCTCAACCCCGTCGCTCCGCCCGTCGCTTACACAGCGCTGCCTCGCCAGTTGCCTCCGCACCTTCCCCCGCTGCTCCTACCACCCTGGCTACCGGCCGCCCCCTGGTGCGCTAGCCCGTTCTGGTTCGTTCCTCCTATCCCTCCTTTCGCGCAACCCCCGTTGTCCCTACCGAACCAACCACGCGTCTAACGCCGAATCTAATTTCACCATAGCACTCGCAATACCAAGAAACCCCAGTTTCGGGTCTTCCCTCGCCCGAAACCATCAGAAAACGGAAAGCTACTCAATTCTTCCCCCCACCATATCCCCTCTCCGCCATAACTCGGCGCACCACTTTCTCTCATGAACTCCTAATCCACTACCTCTCTACTAATTCCGACCACGCCGTTCAATTCCTCGGGGGAAAAAACCCCTTAATCGCGTTTTTTCCCTCTTGATTCCACTCCGAATCGAGAGAGTCATGCCTCCTTGCCCGCGCCTGGCTCCTCTCCCCGCCATCTTTGTTCCTCCCTATGCCGAATGTACCCGGCGCCCTTCGCCGCCCAATTCATTCCTGTTTCCTGCCCCCTCCCCGTAACCTTTGCTCTCCCTCCTACGTCCGCTGTACTCCGCCGGGCTTGCTCGGCTCCCCCTCACTCCTTCTGGCATGCATACACCCGACACAAATCCCCGTCCACGTTCACCCCCACTCCCTCACTCTCCTTCGTCCCCACTCACACCCGTCCTCCGCTCTACTCAGCCGCGGTAACCCCACCGTGTTTTTGCGATCGGTCCTTCCGGTCTCGCTCGGTCCGACAATACTCAAACATCCAAAATAGTCGGATGTCGGACCTCTCAAAAATTTATACCGGTGACACTCACGCGTGACCCGACTAGTTTCCTCTGTGTCGCTCCAAGCCTTAACGGACGCCCCAAAGGCAATGCCCCACGGCGCTACCAAGGACCGCCAGGCCCTTCCCTGCTTTTCACGACCTCCTCCCGCATTCGTATGTGGCTGGGCGCTGTATGCACCTGGCTGCAATCCACGCCCGGTCCAATCGAGGCTCCTCCACTCACTTAGCCGCTTCCCTAGGGCCAACGCCTGGCAACATGGTGGCCTGCCCGATGGTCCCCGCTTCCAAGGGAGGATATTGTAGGCGTCGGCTACCCTGCCAGTTCGGTTAACCCCCGCCCCTATGTCTGAGTCCAGCGATCGATTTGCCCGGCCCGGCTCCGCCATGGCCCCTCCCTTCCGTTTTTGTTTTCAGCAGAGTTCGCTGCTGCTTCGAGCTTCTAATAGCCAACCCCGACATTGCGTCCGAGACGGGACGAGAACAGGGGAAAAAAAAATACACGAGGTGTAAGAAAAATAAAACTTCATAAAAAAAAAAAAAAAAAAAAAAAAAAACCCTGGGAAAAGGGGAGAGGAACTACAAACACCTCGCCTCCCCCATGGGTCAGACCCGCTGCCACGCCTATTAGTAAAACCGAGGGGGATAGCCCCGTTGGGCCCTCAACCCCTCAGGTTTTGTTCCATGCTGCTCCGCTGCTGCTGCTCCGACGCCCGATGGCCTCGATCCCCGAACCTCCATAGTGTCAGCCAAATGCCTTAACCTATAGGTGTAAGCCCAAGCCTGCGACCAACATTCGCGGAGTGCGATATAAGGCGGTGCGGTACCGCGCTCAAAGCCAGGGAAATTGGTTTGAGCCTCATCTCCGTCTACAACCGTGCGCGCGGCTGACCACCGTATGTGCCGACTTACCAAGCTGTATCACGGCCGCCACTCGCACCACCCCGCTGTCGAGACCTACTGCAGTCGCACCACCCCGTCGTCGAGGTCGTCCTTCGTACGCACGCGTAACTCACCTAACCGTGCCAACCATTAAAAAAAAAACAAATATAAAGGTAAAAATAAAACGGACCAACCGGCGTCCGCGCCGGCTTTATAATCGACGGTAGAAACGGAATCACGTGCGTCTTAAAAATCCGCGCGCCCACACACTCTCTATTATGGTCAACCATCCAGTCACATAAGTCACCAACTCAACCGCGCCTAGCGCGGTGTAGTTACTCTCTAAGCCAAGCTATTTTCTGTCACTCGCAAAAACCAGGGCGGATACCCTTGTAAGGGTATTCGCGCCGACAGCCTACCGGACTATATTAAGCGACGTCCCCGTCGCTACGCCAAATCAGAAGCTATAAATTCATCCACGCTCCAAATGCTGACGATAATGGAACCAATCCGATTAGCCGACAGATTCAGGGTTGAGGCCTCCAACACTCCATGCTGACATAACTATATGCTGCCAGGGTTTCAACCTGGGTTTCTAGTGTCCTGACGCTAGGACGCAGGTGTATTACGCATCATTACTACAGCATAAGTTCCAAAGGACACCTCAAACCGTCCTTTCCCCTTCGTCCTAGACAAGTGCCGACTTTTCATTGGGTGTCCCAGTTAGACTCTCTCTCGTGCGCAGAGTCATACGGGGACGCGGGCTTTAGACGAGACCTCAGAAGGCACTCTCGCCTCCCACGTGAAAATTCCCACAATCAAACATATATATATATATATATATATATACAGAAATCTCCTCTCAGCTTTTTCTGTAGTCTAGTACAGAAACGCTAGGTCTCCATCCTGGCTCACCGTAGTCTGGTTGATCGAGCCAGATCTACGGCCTACCGCATTGTTATCTTAGCGGCAGTCCCTTCGTTGGTTATGCAACGATAGGTTTTCTCCTAATAGGCATCCAATCAGGGCGCCCAAACAACTCGACTCGTATCCCTGCCATTCCACCAGAGTAATTTCCTCGGGGCGTGCATAACCTCTTAAACTCTTACTCTGTTGGTAGACGTGGGCCCGTAACCAGGTTGTGCTGGCTTGCAGCCATCCAATAGGGGTTGCGCCCTAGAGGTGCTAACCTTTACCGTTTAGCTTGGTATTCCCTAATATGCCTTAGGTTAGCACAGGTGTCTAGACGGTGCGTCGCAAAACAAACTCCCAGGGCCACTGCGGGACGATGCAGGGATCTGCCCTACTTTTAAGGGTATTTACCGGCCCCTTATGGGACAACATAGAGGGCACGGCCCCCTTCTCACAATCACAAACAATTTCACCGCTAGGCTCACACGAGGCCGCGGCCTACTGACTTGATTAGAGACAGCAGACCACACATCCCACGACATCTTTATGCACTGACTTGCGACCTTCTCAGTTCCACCAATGATTCCAACTCGTAACCCTGGTTCCTCTTGTCAGACTTTATCGTTCAAGCATTGCTTACCATATCCTTAAATCTATCACCCATTTTTCGCATGAAGGGAGTCTCTCTCAACAGGTCTCCCAGCCACCCCTCTCTCTACAGGATGGACTATCACGCGACCTGGGTTACACTGCCGTCAATAGACAACATCCCCACCTTCCATTATCTGTGGGGTCCCAATTATAAAACAACTCAACTGAGGAGCCTTCTTATGGGCTGCCTCCCCAACTTAAACACAAAACAACTCAAACGAAGGGCCAACTTATGGGTCCCCTTCACAACTCAGCCATAAACATTCGGCATGGTAAGCATCCAAGCCTTATAGGCTCGCAAGACCCCTCAGGGTCCTCATACATCTGTCACAAAACGACCGCGCTGCCTCCTCTTATACCCGGCCGTTCCGCCCACCCATGGGCAGGCCGCACGAGTATACCGAAGAGTAGACGGCAATCACAATCACACAATATACATACATGAGATGTATCTCACACATCTCTCACACAAAGCCCTCATTCATTGGGATAAAACCACACATGTGAGAGTGATTGTGATCGTCACAAGAAGAAGTCTCACAAAGTCTGGAATAAAAGATACACTCGGGAGCAAAATATCTCCCTCAAGTCTCGATACGACACTCCTCAACACACAACTCGTAGGGTGTACTTGGGAACAAATTGCCTGCCCCGAAAACACTCAAATATTCACTCCACTGTCTCACTCCGCAGGATAGACTCACGTCCCAAGTGTCATGGACTCTCAGAACCTACTCAAGGATACAAGTAAGCGTATCTGAATCACACAACTGAAAATGCAAGTCACGTATGTCGTAGATATCATACAACTAAGTCTCATCCCCTAAACCGTATCACACATAAGCTCAAGTCGATCACACACCGCTACCTATGTATACACAACTAGACGAGACTCGCCTGGCTAACTCAGAGTATGTACACCCGTATCACGGTCTCTGCGTACAGAGGAGCTCTAATCCTACTGTCATATAGACGGACCAGCCCCTACTCACTCATAGCCTCCTGGTTCTGTCTATATAACTGTGCCCTGCCCCCATCTGGAGCCCGCTCTACCACTCGCCCCCGCCTGTCGTACATTCTCCCACCACTCTCTGTTACTCTCTCGACCGCCTTGTCCTTAAGGAACTTCGGGCATTCAAGAGCTCTATGTACGCCGTCCTTGCAGAAGAAGCACTGATCGTCTGATCTCCCTCGACACCTCCTCTTCTTCTTCTGGGACTCAGGCAACGGCGACGTCTCGCGAGTTTCCCTGCTCATCTCATGGCTCTGGGACATACTCCATGACTCTGCCGGCCCCGCCTCCATCATCTGGGTACTTGGCCTTGCTAACGCCTCACCTCCCTCGGGTCGGTACACTGGAGTGTCCAATCTCAGTGGCGTGCCCTCACGGACTTCTCCCATCGCAGTCGCCTCTTCATCCTTATGCAAGTCAGAAGGCTGGGGAGTCACGACAGTCGCTGGCTCGCTCATAACTTCCTGCCGCTGCTCTTAGATGTGCTCTCCTGAGTCAGTTCCAGTAGCCTAAGAGCCTAACTGTGCCCTTAGCTCCCCTATCTTTGGCACACGCTCTGGGGTCTTCTGTCTCTGAGGCTCTCCTAACGGCATGCCCAACTCCATAGCCGCTACTAACTCATCCAGTCGAGACGCCTCTCCCCCCATTGCCTCCGGCTCAGGGATGCCGCTACTCCCTTAAGGGCACCCTCCTGCACCTCCAAAAAGATCATAGGGGACTCCTCTGTGGGGCCCCCTTCCTCCACTGGAGGTTGGGGTCCCTGCGTCGGCTCGCCCTCAGGGATCTCAATTGTCATAGGGGTGGCCTGTTGTGAGGCCAACTCCGTGGGAGTCCTAAAGCTAAACCTCCTCTCCTCAGCCTCCCGCCTCGCTGCCGCCTCTGTTGGGTCCAGGAATACCTTCCCCATTCCCTCCTGCTGTGGCGTCTCCGTCGTTCCTTCCTAGCCAAAGAGCCCCTGTACCTCCTTCCCCTGAATACCATACCGGCTCTGCTCCGTCCAGTCGACCACCTTAGTGGCTGAGAGCCTCTCTACCATCGCCGCCATGTCCCGAAGCCTCTTCTCCCACTCCGCCTCCTTGGCTTCCATGCGGGTCCTCCACGCCTGGTTCTCTGCCCTCTTTTCTGCAAGTTGGGTGGACAACTGTCCCACCTCTAACCTCGACGCCGCCAACTCATCGTTGAGCATGGAGTACCGCTGGAAGAACGAGATTGCCACCTCACCTATCCCCCTGTCTGTACGCTTAATCTCCATCCTGGCGGCTGAAAATCCTAAGTCCTCTGCCTCTCGTGCCTCGTCCAATTTTTCACTCCCCTGTCCTGCTTCTCGCGACCTCAGGCGAGCAGCATCCCTCTCGCTTTCATAGCCGGCCCAAGCCTTAATAATCCTCTGCTCGCTTGTCGGGGGGTCAATCGGCGGCTTTGGCACTTCTCATGCGGCCTCCATCCTAAGTTTTTCCTGGTATAGCTCCTCGAGGCGTACCTACACCCTCGCGCGCTTCTCCTCTTTCTTCTCCCCCGGTGGCTTCCTTGTCCTCGCCTCGTGACCCTCCCGCAGTGAATCTCTCTCACTTGTCCCCTCCTCTGCGGGTGGCGGCCCTGGCGGAGGCTCCCCGGACGTCGGCACCTCCACGTCCATACGTGCACCTGTAGACCCAGTTAGTTGCGGCACCACGATAGTAGGTGTCCTTGCCCTCTCGCCCTCCTCTGGCTCCGCCTGCGTCGGGAGTGGCATAGTAGCCTCCGGTGGGGGCCCCAACATCTCCTCGCTGTCCGATTCAGGAATTCCTTCAGGCCAATGCTGCCGCGCCTGTTCAGGAATCGGAGTAGGAGGAGGGGTATCATCCCCAACAGTGATAACCCCCTCAGTCTGCGGCTCCTCGGGTTCGCGAGACCCCGCCTCAGGCCCCGGCGCAGGTGGCTCCTCCTCTGGCTCATCCTCCACTGGCTCATACCATGCCGGTCCGCTCTTGTCTGCTCCCCGCTGTGATACCCCCCACTGGGACGCATCAAGATGAGCCTCCAATCTGTCGAGCGACGTCCTCAACGGCACCGCCTCCCCCCCCTCTGGCAACATCGGCGACGGGCCCCGTAGATCACTGCCCGTGATTCGGCAAAACTCCACCTGCTCGAGTCCATAGGTAGGGGGTACCTCTGCCACCTGAGCCGGCCCCGCGGCCTGAACTGGCTCCTCCGCCTGAACTGGCTCCACCGCCTGGGCGGCCTCCGATGGCCCCTCTCGCTGTGCCAAGGCCTTTCGGCCCCCTCTGGTCGTAGTGGTCCCTCTCGCCTCTGGGCCCCGTGGCCTCTTACTCCTTTGTCGTCTCTCCACCCTGGGCTCTGGTCYCTYRGGCTCCAGTCGTCGAAATGCCTTTCTCAAGTGGGCCTGGCAGTCCTCCCAGTCGTGTGCCCTGTCCCGRATCTGCCTCGCCAACGACCTCTCCGCCCTCCGTGTCCAGAGGGGCAGCATCTGCATCCACTCYTCCTGCCCAGCCCCCTGGTCGCGCATATACTGCTCATAGGCCGGGATGAACTCCTCCGCATTGCCTTCCTCCAATCGAATAGGCAATCCATCCGGTCCCATCGGCGAAGCCCTCAGCATCTGCATCCTCGCCTCCACATCCTGCCATGTCAACGCCTCCTCTCGAATATGCGCAATAGGCTCCTCGAAGCGCCCAACTCCCCTCAAGTGTCGTATCCTCTCCAAGGTAGACCAGCCCTCCCGTGTCGCATGTGCCTGGTAGGAGTCCAGAAAAAGCTCTATGTTACCGTCGTCGAAGATAGGCGTAGACTCCCTCCTAACCGGTCTGCGCGAGTCATCCCCTCCTGATGCTACCTGAGGCCCCTGTCGTGGCCGCGCGCCCCTCCCGCCCCTCTGCATGGCTGTCTTCGGAAAGTCAGACCTGCACAACAGGCGAGAGAAAGCAAGCAGGCACACAACAAGGTTAGCCCTTCGTTCATCAAGTTTTTATGACAACACACATGCCTTTTCCTACTCTCTCACCTGTCCTGACCATAACATGCGATACCTCAAGGACCAGCCTATTCTGAGAAAGGTAGAATTCCTTACCTATTCCCTAGCCACGAACTTCTTCAGCCTGGTCCCCGATACCCAATCGTGCCACCCTGTCCCGTCCAGCTCCTTGATCTGATAGGCCCGAAATTCACCGCATCGCAATATCCTGTAGGGGCCCAACCATCTCTTGTCAAGCTTCCTCGACCATTGATTTTCCAAAGAGGAGTCGTATAATAATACGACATCTCCTACTGCCAATTACTCCTTTCTTACTCGTGCCATCTGGTCCCACCTCATCTTATCTTCCATGCGACTCCTTTCCACCTGACCAGCGGCCTCTCGCAATCTTTCTTCGGCCGCCCCCACTTGCCGTGCCCGAATATCGAGCAGTTCCTTGAAAGACAGGTTTACCTCCAAGTCTTGGCGCCTCCACGTCTTCATAAAGCTTTCTATGGGAAAGGTGGCATGCCTCCCATACCATAGCGTGGATGGCGCGTACTTGGTAGGCCTCTTTGCCGTAACATTCTCCACGAAGAAAGCTGCCCGTAGGAATTTCGACCATTGACCAGGCTTGCCCTCTGTCCACTTAGCCAGGATATTCGTGATGGTACTGTGCCCTCTCTCCACAAGAGCGTTCGCTTGAGGGTGTGCGGTCGTAGTATAGTTGGCCACTACGCCATACCCTGCAAGCAACGTCCTCACCTCATTGCAGGTAAACTCTAGTCCTCGATTCATCACGAACTCCCTGACAAAAGGGTATCGCAGGTCATACTCCTCGATGCAGTTTGCCAAAACCGGGCCATTCTTTGTCCGGATAGCTCGTCCGTCCACAAACCCAGTAAGGTTATCCCGTGCATCGAAGATGTAGTTACATCCATTCTCCCCTGCTGGCATGAATAACAGGTCCAGGTCTACGACCGCACCCACTTCTCTTTCTAACCTTGGGTGTAGGGGTTCTCCAGGCCTTTGAGCTGACCTCTCTTGACAAGGTATACATGACCGACAGTATTTGATAACCATCGTCGGCATCCCATCCCAAAGGTAGAGCTCGCTTATCTTCGCGCATGTGGCACTTACCCCTCTGTGCCCCCCTGCTATACCATCGTGTAGGGCCGCTATGATATCAATTTGTCGGTTTCTTCCACATACGATCCTCCTGGGGTTCCCGACCTGCCGCTTTATAAACAAGTGGCCGTCTCTTACCACATAGAGGTGCCTCATCTTCTGTGCTTTGACGCTTGCATCTCTATCCCTTATCTCACATGATAGGAGCAACCCTAATTCCTGGTAGATCCCATCGTACTCCTCCGCCCGAAACGCCTCCTTGATTTCTCCTTCCTCGAATTCGTCGTCTCGGCTTTTAGGAACCAGAATCTCATTCTCCTCGTGACTGAACGAGCCCTTTCGGTCGAAGTCTCCCTGCAGGAGCATATTGGTGAGCAGGTACATCCCTTCCATTAGCTGCTCATGCTCCTCTACCTGAGTGGGGCCTTCCTCTATTGTCCTCACTTCCTCCACCAGGCTGTGCGTACCTGCCAACGCCAACTTCATCATCCAACCAACATCTTTACTCCCCCATGGATCCTCCTCCTGAAAGGGCTTGATGACTAACTCCTCCTTCTGCTCGTACCCCTTTGGTGCCAGCCATATGGGGTGGCTGACGCAACTGGGCACTCGCAGGGACCACTCGTTTATGTGCAAGCGGACGTCCTCCTCTTGATAAAAAAAACCATCAAGTGGCGGCGTGTCTTCTATCGATTCCTCGTCCGATCCGTCCCAGTTGATGCGGCTTAGCCCATCTGCCCTGTTCTTGTTCCCTGGGATCCTTTCCAACTCAAAATTGAACATCCAAATGTAGGTCAACCATCTTGCGACGGTTGGGTCAGATGGAGTATAATTCTTCAGGGAACATGCCAGTGCAGTAGGGTCCACCCTCAAGATGTGCCTCTTGAAGTACCGCCAGCGTTTCCTTCTTGAACTGAGAGTAGTTCCTCTCAGTTGTATTGAGGGTACGACTTTCGAATCTTAGCGGCCTCTCCTTCCCCTCAGTATCCGCCTGAATCAGGACTCCTCCCAAGGCAGTTGGCCCAGCGTCCGTCTCAAAGACGAATGGTCTTTCCTCCGTGACCTCATAGTTTGGCACTCCCAATACCAAGCCTTCTTCCTTAAACTCTCCCTTCATCCTACCGACCACCTCTTCTTGGTCTTCGCCCCAGACCCATTCTTGATCCTGGCGCACCAACTTCCTTAAATGCTCCGTCTTCGTGGCAAAGTCCTTCACGAAGCTCCTCCAAAATCCGCACGTCCCAAGGAAGCTCCTCACATCTGTTATCAAGCGGAAGGGCACCGGCCACTCCAGAATCTTGTCTGTCTTCTTTACATCAGACCTTCGCCCACTCTCATTACAGACAAAGCCTAAAATCGTGGCCTCCCTCATACAATGTTTCGACTTGGGGCCGCTCGCCGTCAGGTTATGTTCCTCCAATAACCTCAGAACCTGATCGATGTCTTGGACATGCTTCCAGACAAAGCGTTGTACACTGGACACACTTCGTCTTCCTCCTTCTCCTTCGGACCTTTGACCGCCAGGTCATCGATATAGGGCTGGGTGATATGTGGGCTGACCGTCTGCATGGCTCTGATCATATGCCTTTGCACCATCGCCACTGCATTCGTCCAACCTTGAGGCACCACATTCATATGAATCAACCCTCTGGGAGCGGGCCTGTCTGGCGGGTATACGGGGAATTGGTCATACCCCGAATAGAGGTCTATAAGCGAGATTATAGGCCTCCCTGCGCACGATTCTGACAATGCGTCCGCGTTCGGCAATCCTCCCGCGTCCCGCACTGTCACCGCATTTAGCCGTTGCAAGTCCTGCACCCACCTTAGCGTCCCATTTGGCTTAATAAAACAAAACCAAGGCTATGCGTACGACCCACTGGAATAATCGGCCACGTGCGTCCGCATCTTGCCGTCCAGGTAGTCCACCACCATCTTTTCCTCATCTGGATTGGGGTACCGCGCGCCCCTTAGATTCCATGGCTCATGTGGGATCGTGTGGATCCTGATCATCGGGATCTTGTCCACATCCAGCCTCCCACGCTCGTCGTCGTTGAATGCATACGCGCGGTGCCTTTTCTTCATCAGCCCCACCATCAACGCTCTCTCCTGGGGTTCTACAAAACCTGCTCTCTCAATGCCTTAATGGCCTCCGGATCCGCCATGTCGTGAGCTGATACCACCTCCATGGCCTTATTCACATCCGTGAGGCTTAATGTCAGCACCTCAGCCCTATCTTCCTCCCCGGGCACTTGCCAAAGCCGTCTCCGCTCGTTCTCTGATTCCTCAAAGGTGAACGAGCCTAGATTGGGCCTATTCCTCCCGCTCCCCGGCCCCGTGTTCCGGCAGGTGATAACTTCATAATTCCTACACGTCGGGTCGCACAGGAGCAGGATCATTGTTCCGTCGTGCTTGTTGAAGATCAAGGTTTCCGTCCTGCACAGGAACGACCGCCCCAGGAGGATGGGGTGATCGACATCGGGCATAACGAAAAAGCAAGTTCTGGCTCGCACTTTCCCAATCTCTATAATCACATTTGACGTTGTGCCGCAAAAGGCGACCTTGCAGTTAGCGCCGTGTAGCATGCCATGGTCCGAGCGATCGACCTCCATGCCTATCATTACCGCCTCCTTCTCCTTGATGATGTTCATCTCTGCGCCCGTGTCCACCATCCCAGTACACTTCTGGTCCCTTATCACCAAATCCACCTGCCCGCACGCCACACATTTCCAATCAATCCTTGTCCCTGCCTCAGTCCACTCCACCTCTCTAGGCAGGACCGTACTCAGATGGACATTTGGCACCAACCTTCACGACAGTCGCCCTTTCAACTCCCCACGGAGCCTTGGCGCCGACGCCAGGATATCCTTCAGGTTCATCAAGTCATTGTGGCCTTCCAGGAGCTTGTCCACCATTCGCTCCACGTCAAAACCTTCCTCCATCCGGACCGCGTACTTCTTCCTCTTAGGTACGCTGTCGGGTAGGCTTGGCTCGGCCTCCTCCCGGGCTCCTCTCTTTTTGGCCCTCAACTCCGCCCGCTGATCCTCCTCTTGTCGGAGCCTCTCATCCTCTTCATCGTCTTCCTCTTCCTCTTCCTCCGGGACCTCCACCACCTCTTTCCTACGTTCTGGCTCCGACTCCTTTCGAGGGGGTGCCTGACTGGGCTCTTGGCTAGGCCCGGCCTTGTCTTGGCTCCTAGTCCGAGCCGCCTGCGGCACCCTCCCATGCGACGTGGGGGGTCTATAGGCCATACCTGACCTAGGGTCCGTCCCTACAGTCGCCACTCTTGGGTACCTCTGTTGTCCTGGCGAAGGCTCAGGTCCGGAGTCGTAGAGGAAGACCTCAGGCAGATTGGCCTCCCACTCTCGGGCTTCTTCACACAGAGCCTGCAACTTCCGCTGGTACCTTCCCACCTTTTCCAGCAGGTCTTCCATCCTCCCCAGGAGGGCTAAGGCCGGCTCTCCTTCGCCTTCCTGCCCCTCGTCATCCGATTTGATGACTATCGGCTCCTCCCTTACAGTCCCCGTCTTTAGTCGCCGAGTGACCTCCTCACTATCCCCTACAATCTCCTCGACTCTTACGGTCAGCTCTTCCTTCTCCTGCCACATCCTAAACATTGTCGGGGGTGCCATGGGTCCCGCTGTTGCTCGCCAGAGAGCCTCTTGCCTGATTCCTCCCGGGGTCCTGGGGTCAATATGCTCACCCCACTTATCATATATGTCCCCGTCCATACAAGAGGAGATTAACCCTGATAATTCATCCTCTCGCCGCCGCTCGCAGAACCGCACCGTGTGGCCTACATCGCCACAATGCCAACAAGTGGCATTTCGCCAATCAAAGCGGGGCCTCCCATACCCTTGGACCCCTCCCTGGCCGCCTCGTCCATCTTGGTCCTGGCCCCTTTGACCATTCCAACCACCTCCGCGACCCCCACCATGTCCTCCTCGGCCCTGGCCACCACCTCCTCGGCCCCCTTGACCTCGGCCTCCATTGCCTTGCCCACCTTGTCCTTGGTTTCCTCCCCCAGCCACGCTAGCCTGCGAGGCCTGCTGGGAGGGAGGCGATTGGGCCACAAACTGACCCTGAGCCGCAGGGTAGCTCGGGGGCTCCATACTTACCGCTGGGCCAGCATAAGGGACCATTTGCCCGGGCAGAGTTTGACTACCCCCGCACGAGGTGCAGTGATTACAACTGGGCCAGGATGCAGGCTGACAATACGGCACCCAGTGCCCACAAGCCGACGGTGACCCCATACATGACGGCCCGACCGTCGCTGACGTTGTCGTGGCTGCAGGTGGCGGCGCAGCAGTCGCTTGCGGGACCTACCCTTTCCCGGATCCTTGACCCCCCACTTGTAGGTTCCGCTGCTTCCTCTGGGCCTTGGTTAGGATCTGGGAGCCCGTCTCTTCTCCGCCATAGTCCTCGCGCCTAGCCTCCTCTTCGACTGCCCCCGACCCCCGGCCTTGGGCCACGGTCACTCCCCTCTTTTGCACTTCCGCCTCATTATCATACCCCAACGCTGCCAATACGTCCGTGACGATCCTCTTCACCCCTGGGGTCCCGGACGCGGTGCCGTCCCTTTCCTTTCTCTTGCGCCTTTGCAGCCGCACCTGGTGCTGTTCCACCTGGTCCAGGCTCCCCTCTTCCACCCCTTCGTCGATAGTGGTCCATGTGAGTTTCTCACTTCCCCCTCCGTGACCCGTCAGCTCCGAGGCCTCCGAGCAAGTAAGCAGACCCAAGAATATGGCACACTGCGTTTCTTCGGAGATCCCGTGCACCGTCCTCGCCCTCTTTTTAAACTCATGTACGAAAGCCCCAATCGTGGAGAAGTCGTCCTTGTTCATCGCCTCCAAATCCCCTATGGTCAGCAGGTCATCCCCTAATCTGTACTTTCTCTGCATCATGTCCCTAAACCTCGCCCAACTACCATTGGCAGCATCCACGACCTTGCCCACTTCCTGGTGATGGCTATGAAGGACATATCTTAGGACCCGTTGGAGCTTGACCTCACCTGACAATCCCACCAGTGCCTGCTCCGTCAGGTCTAGCCAGTCGGACACCCGCTCTCCTCTGAAGTGGAATGTATCAACCTTCGGGACATTGCTCGGCGCTCTCTCGCGCTTATCCAAGGCGTCAATGAGGTCGTCGAGCGTTACAAGCTTTCTCCCACCGTCCACCATCTTCTCAGGCATTTTGATTGACTGCCTTCGGCTTCAATCCCCCTGTTATAAGAAGCGATAGGACGAAAGGTTCCACTCAGCAGTCCATTCCTCCATGATCCTACCGGACCGACCACCTAAGCACCCGACGCTCTGGTCCTGGCCGACATTTCTCTCTCTACTTTCTACCTCCCTTGGGTTCACCTAAGTAAGACCCACTCTCATCGCAGAATTCACTCACATACTCGCCTCGTTCATGCCATCAACCAAGCCACCAATCAAATCAACATTCATACCCACACAACCATATAGACTACTATACGACCTAGCTCATAGTTCTTCTCCTATTTACTCGCGTGCCTAGCTCTCTCTCATTCTCATACCCGGATGTCATTCCACCAGGGACAACGGTAGGCTTCCGTCATCCCCGACAACGACGCCACCTGTTGGGCGCATCGGTCCGGCAATGCACATGGCAGCGCGGGACCCTCTCGGCCGCGTCACGCAGGAGTTGGACCAACCTCGACACGAACGCGCAAATGGAGCTTCCTTAGGCTGCTCCGGCCGAGTGCGCCAGCCATACCTCTCGCTAGCCCCTACGACAGGATAGGGCCTACGCGAGGCACAACTTACCTCCACCTTACGGGAGTCGTCACCTCCCTTCGGTGGGCGTATC